TGAAATTTGAGCTGGCAGGACAGCTCATTGGGTAAAGGCCTGTCACCAAGCCCGAGTCTAACAACTTGAGTTTACTCTCCAAAACCCATGTGGTAGAAGTAAAGAACTACTCCCAATAGTTCTCTGACCTTCACATCCGTGTCATGGCATAAAAGTCCACATATATGCACCCACATACATACATACATACATACATACATACATACATACACACATACAATTCAAAATTTATTTTCAGTAGAAATTTGTCTCACAGTTCTGGTGAATACAATTAGCAAATCACTTTGGGCTGAAGCGAAGGTATTTGTGTGTATGTGTGTGTACATGTGTGTTTAAGTGAGTACACATGTGTGTTGTGTGTGTATATATGCTTATATGTGTTCATATGTGTATGTGTGTATATGGTTATTTGTGTATATGCATGTATTGTGAGTCTATATGTCTGTCAATGTGTCAGTGTGTGTGCTTTATAACCTATTTCTAGATCAGGCTAGCTCCTGTCATTTCCCCTGTATTGGACATCTCATTTTCTCAAAGTCCTCCACTGCAGACCAGACATGTAATCTAGTGTAAACTCATCGTGAACCCATATGCATGTAGTCTTTAGTCATTTTAGGACAAAGCTCAGGACCAGGATAGTTTCACAAGAATCTTCATTTGGCTTCCACAGTCTAACTTGAAAGTTATAGATTTATTTATCTTTTCTAGGAACCAGCTTCTGATTTCATTGGTTCGTGTAAACTGTTCTTTTTTGATATTTTATGGATTTTGCTATTATTTTTAGCCTGTGCTTCCTGTGGGCTTCTTTAGTCTTTTTCAGTTTCTTAAGATTGATACTAGGGTTTTAGCTCCGTTTCACATATTTTAGCTGGTGATTTTTCGTAGACCTTGACATATTCCACACCCATCACTTGGTTCTTAGAATTATCCTATAGCATTAGAAGTTGTTTTCTGGGTACCTTTCTGCTGATTTCTAAACAACATTATCATCGAAGAACGTTTTCAGTGTGCCAGCTTCAACACTCTTCAAGAAATTGCCTGTAGAAATCTGTTTTAAGACATTATATCTGGTTTGTTGTCTCCCCTTCTGAGCCCCTGCTGGTTTTTCATTTGTTTGTTTGTTCTGAAGAATGTGTATGGCTCCTTTCTGGTTCACATGTCGGGGTTTGCATAGCTGCACCTATACACAAGAGGACACCTATACACAATAATATGGAAATTGCTGAAATGGCTGCTCCATTAGGGAGAAGGTTTTTATTGTGCATAAAAAGTGTGAAAATATCCAGAGGCATCTGGTAGAATCCAAAGCAGAGAAAAAACAGCAAACCAAACCAACAAAAAAACCAAAGCATACTGGATATGACCAGTGATAGCTGAGAGTAGTGAGAGAGGCTGAGGCAGGTAGAGGATATTGGGGGTGGGGGTATAGAGATGGCAAGAAATGGAGACTAGTGAGGGGAGGTGGGACAGGGGGCAGCAGATTTTTAAAAATGATACCCAGGTCTGTACGGAGCTGAATTTGATCTATTTTTAAGGAAAGACTCTCTGAGGGTTTTTCGTTTGGGGTTTTGAGGTTGGGGTTTGGGAGTGGTCAGGGGCAGTTCTGTTTCAAACTTTGTAAAAGCTTAATGCAAGAACATGCTTGTCTTTCACTCTGGTTGCTAGGGGCAGCTGCTCTCACCAGCCCTAGATAAGTCCTGGAACGATTTCGTTAAGTCTCTTCTGTGATTCCTTCCTCACTACTGGAGTCCCTTTTCACACATCCACTGATTCGTACTCCAAGTTCGCCATCCTTCTCTAAATCTCCCTCATCCCTAGTCCTGTGCTCGCTCCAGCCTGCATGGCATCCACTTCTGCATTCGAAGGTTACCTTTCCGCCTCACCACAGCCAATCTGCCTGCTTTCCATCCCTGTGCTTAGCTTGGATTTTTTTTCTGAGATACTAAACTGGGCACATAGTAGGGCAGATTCTACATCATTTGTTTCCCCAAGACTCAGGGATCGCTTCCTATCCTGACTATTGCCCTGTAGCATAGAAGCCTCTTGCTTGTGGACTTTTTGCCTGGTTTTTAGCGCTTACATTTGAAGAAGTAAAGCTGATAATTCCTTATCCCATCTTAGCTGCAAATATAAGTCAAAAGCTGAGCTTTTGTGCAGTACAAACAGGGTACTAGTATGGTTTCCAGCCCTCAGATAGCAATCAGCATGCTAAGATCATACCAGCTCCTGTATCCACCGGAAGGACTGCTCATAGGAGCTGCAGAGCGCATGTCAAACCCGGGCATCAGACAAGAGTTATGCGGCAGTGTGGTCTGAGATGCTTAAAATGAAGGAACAGAGCAAAGCAAGCTGCTTCCTCAGCTTCTTCATTACTGCAGAGTATATCTGAGGGGCTGCTATGATCTTTGTTAGCTGGTAATAAGCTTTAATGGTCACACAGAAACTTCTGTATTTCAAGACACAAATGTCTGAAACAATTAAGTGTAAACTTCTTGAATATACAAATTGTATTTAATTGCAAAAAATTAATATACTCCTGTTAGAGAAGCTACTTCTGTGATGTGATGATTAATGATGGTTTTCACTCATCAAGCCAGTCCTGATGTGGGAAACTTGGTCTATGACCTTAGCAAAGGGAAAGTCTTGATTTTGTTTATGCATAGCCATATGTGCAGCTGGCAGATCAAAATTTTCTGATGAAAAGCATCTAGTAGAATAAGGGAACCACCATTGCTTATTGTTCAGAAAGTTCAAATCAAAAAAAAAAGTAGAAAATCTAGATTTTATACAGCACTAAAAAAGAAATATGGGCTAGTCAGCCTCTTCATATTAAGTCAAGGCAAACTTTGATCCTAATTTATTATGATTTTTTCCCTATGACCTTACCTGTCTATCAGTTCCTGATACAATGCAATAGTGGAAGTACTCACAACACTTTGAATAGTGTTATAGATGTCGTGAACAAAGAGAAGGTAGTCTTTGACCTGTGAAAGACCAAGATAAGGTTTGTATAGTTTGATTTGGTTGTCATTTAAAATTTATTCCTGCCGGGCAGTGGTGGTGCATGCCTTTAATCCCAGCACTTGGGAGGCAGAGGCAGGCAGATTTCTGAGTTCAAGGCCAGCCTGGTCTACAGAGTGAATTCCAGGAAAGCCAAGGCTATACAGAGAAATCTTGTCTCGAAAAAACAAAATAAATAAATAAATAAATAAATAAATAAATAAAATTTATTCCTAATAATCAGACTAAGTGATACTTTATACAAATGTTTTTACTTTAGGGGAAAAGTAAGTGTGTTTATATAGAGCTGTGCACATCCCTCCTTTTACAGTTCATTTAGAGAAATCTACGTTTTCGCAGAAGCCCACCATCCTTGAGACAGTTGACACATATATATTTCATCATGGTCACAATAAGATCACTGACCTTTGCTTGCTTCACAAAGCCTCTCTCTGATAGAACGAATTGCTCTATGTCGATTTTATAGATGGCATTTGCTCAGCCTCCTTTTTAAGTGAACTGTCATTTTATTGAGTTTTGAGTAACCAACAGTGCTTCTCAAGGCTGAGTTTGATGTCTTATCATTGAGGGACAGAAATATTTTCATTCTGTCAAGTTGTGTGAATTTAATACTATGTCTGTGGTGTCAGAATAGGCTTAGCAACATAGCATTCAGTTCCAGCTAGTACTCTGGCTCAGCAACCCATATTAACATTTATTATCGAGACAACGCACATTCTTTACCATTTCTGCAAACTGAATATGTGACTCTCGGAAAATTCTTGAAATAGAGAGATTTACGTGAATCTTAACTCCCTGCGCTTAGCTTAGGGTTTGGTGATGAAGCATGACCTTCACGGAAAGTGCTTTAATTAAGCAGGCCATCTCTCCTAACAGCAGGGATGTTCTGGATCCTGCGAGACATCTCTAGCCCAGCAAGGATGCTATTATACAGCCTGTGTTCTGAAGCATTCCCTTCTAACAGTAGAAGGTATGCTCTGTGACACAGGCCAGTCACCTTGTGAGAGGCCTCAGGGATTTAGATGTCACAGTTATCCAAATCTGATCTGGACCATGTAAATTCCCATTTGTATTTTATCACATTTACTTATTTGGGAATGTGTATGTGTCCGTGCATTTGTGTGTGTGCACACATACAGGCATGCTTATGTGTAGAGTAGTGTGCATGTGGAGGTCAGAGGGCAACTTGCAGGCACTCTCTCATCAAGAGAGTCAAGTGGGTCCTCAGGATGGACTGGGCGTCATCAGACTTTCACCAAGTGCCTTTACCAGTTAAGGCATCTCACTAGCCTTTGCTTTAATATTTGAAAATGATCATTGAATGCTTCTTCAGAACAAACTCAGTTTTAAACAGTTTATACATGTGTGTGTGTGCACAATAGGCATTATTCTTATTACATTTTGATAATACTCAATGTATCTATCATCGGAATTGATATCAAGCCTAAATTCCTTGATGTCAGAATAGAGTGGGATGACTTCTCTCTCTCTCTCTCTCTCTCTCTCTCTCTCTCTCTCTCTCTCTCTCTCTCTC